TTTAGTGACGTGGTGAGACATGCATGTTTTCTTGCGATGTCGCGTTAGAATAAATAGTACCGAGGCTAATGGCATCAGCTGAGAGCTACAGTAGCTACACGGTACAGTACAGAAAGAAGCTTACCTACCTAAATTTTCTTCAATGGGCATCTTGCGTGACGACTAGTCCCGGCACAGGTAACAAAGTATTAAAAGCCAGGACCGAACACAAGGATTACGTATGTATACTGCGGGTGATGCGATTACCGACCAAGATCATTTCTTCATGATCACCCAAAAATCCCGGAGATTTACACGATTTACATACATGATTTACACGCCACACAATTTATGCCGTGAACACGAGATACAACACGGAGGTACTCTGTATCTAAAAGGAAAATCATCACAAAGCTTAACCTTTTCGTGTGAGTTTTGGATTATAAGTCGTGAAAGTCATGAAAGCCATGAAGTCATTGAATCAGCTGAGAAATCTTGGGAGGGAGCCTCATAAGCACGATTTCCTAGTTTGGGATGGGACGCGGGATTGGGTGTGAGAGAGGATGTGTGAATTGTGAAGATCTTGGTATGTATGCTTGAGCGTTGAGGTATGAACAGAACACTGGATCGGGATTTGGTGTGGTACAACTTACAAATGAGATAGATGGGCGGGGCGGGCCAATAGTGCTGTGTAGGTTAGAGGTTAGGTTATCGGTGGGTTATGTTACATCGTATCAATGGTACCATCGACCATCAACCATCAACCATCTGGATTCGACAATCACTCAAGCCACATCTCATCTCATCTCATCTCATCCCACCCACTCCCAACAAAAACATGAAACATCACACCCACCATCTCCGTACTCCGCAAGGAAAAACAAACTCAAAAGCACGATAGCTGAAAGTTTAGGTCCGTGTTCGTGTTCATGGTGGAGGTGTGATGATGGACGATGGGCGATGGGTGCGGTGAAGGGCTGAGATACCTAACCCCAGTAGGTATTTGGTGTGGATCACGATACCTTGATCTTGGGTCATCCATTTTCACCTATAGGATCTCAAATTGGGTTTTTATAGGATGCCTTTTCCACCGGTAATGCGCCGGGTGTTAATTACTTCTTGCATGTTTCCCGCAGCAACTTTCAAAATCTCGTGTAAGGCTGTACGGGATTGGATTCCTTGTTCGGTGTGGTGCACGAAGGGTAAGGTTACGGTGTCTCCGTCTCCATACAGGCGGAGTACAGGTACACGTTCACGTACGTTAGCACGGACTCGTATCGTTTATGTCATTGAGTGCCGAGGCGAGTATAAATATGGATGCTTCAAATAGGAAGAATGGGGAAGTGGATGATAAAGCTTTTGTAAGAAATTTTGGGAAGCGATCGGTAACGGGAAAAAATAACCTGGTAACAAGATACCGAGATTATTTTACTGGAAAATTCCAAGGGAAATTTAGGAAAAGTGATCGCTTGGATCAGAACTCTTTACCAAAGGAGAATACCAAGTCGAAATCAGAGCCAGTTTCAACATCTCAATTACAATATCAACCACAAATCACAACCGAAATCATGTCTGCTGAATCATCCTCAACCCAGCCTGTCTGGACATCTGATACTTCCAAAACAAAACCAACAATCATTTCTGACATCGAATCTGCAACTCATAGCATCCAAGCCATCTTCCGAGATCTCAAATCCATCACTCCAGAGGATGCAAATACTTTACTCCAACTCTTCTCTTCGGAGATCAAGGGTGTCCAAAATGACAATACGCTTCTTCTAGAAAAGACAGTACAATTGCTATCTTCTCAACCAGAAACTTCAGGAATTGGAAAAAGTCTAACAGCAAGTTTTGTGAATACTCTTTGGGATGCTCTACCGCATCCACCTATGAGGAGTTTGGATAAGAAATATATGTATAGGGATGCAGATGGTGGGAATAATAATATTCGGATGCCCGATTTAGGGAGAGCGGGGACGGCTTATGCAAAGAATGTTAATGCTGTGAGAATGAAGAAGAAGGATTTACCTGATCCGGGAGAGCTTTTTGATAGTTTGATGAGGAGAGGTGGAATAGATGGAGAAGAGCCGTTTAAAGGGAGTCCGACGGGTATCAGTAGTCAGTTGTTTTATTTGGCTACGATTATTATTCATGATCTCTTTCTTACGGTAGGTGCAATTCGTCGATGCTTAGTATTGTCAGAGGAATTCAAGAAGCTAATGACTAGAGATAGGATCATGAAGATATGACTAAGTCCAAGACGAGTAGTTATTTGGATCTCTCACCTCTCTATGGCTGCAATCAAGAAGAGCAAAATGCAATTCGAACATTTGAAGATGGTAAACTCAAACCAGATTGTTTCTCCTCAAAAAGAATCTTAGGATTTCCCCCTGGTGTGGGAGTTTTCTTAATTATGTTCAATCGATTCCATAATTATGTTGTGGAAATGCTTGCTCAGTCAGTATTCCCATTTTTATTCTTCTATGTTTGGATATCAAAGCTAACTAGGATTTCAGAATTAACGACAATGGCCGTTTCACCAAGCCCAAGCCAGAGGCGGAAAAATCTGCTTTTGATAAGTACGACAACGATCTCTTCCAGACAGGTAGACTTGTTACTTGTGGCTTGTATGTCAATATCGTTTTGAAGGATTATGTCCGTACGATTTTAAATCTCAATCGTACAACTTCGAAATGGGATTTAGATCCGAGAGTTGAGGAGGCAAAGAATCTTTTGAGTAATCCTGCTGCCGAGGGGGTGGGAAATCAAGTCTCTGCTGAATTTAATTTGAGTATGTTCCATTCACTTTATGCGTTAAATCTTACCATGCAAATACTTATTTGATAAATAGTTTACCGTTGGCACTCAGCTATCTCTCAAAAAGATGAAGAATGGACCAACGCAGAATACACCAGACTCTTCCCTAATAAAAGTCCAGCTGATGTCACGCTTCCCGAACTTCTCAGAGGTCTTTATACGATGGAGGCGGAACTTCCTACCGATCCTTCTCAACGCTCTTTTGCAAACCTTACCCGTCTTCCCGATGGATCATATGATGAGGGATCTCTCGCATCAATTTTCCAATCATCAGTAGAAGACCTTTCTGGTGCCTTTGGTGCCGCAAATGTTCCACCTATCATGCGTTCTATCGAAATTCTCTCCATCATACAAAGTCGTTCTTGGAATATGTGCACGCTCAATGAATTCCGTTCTTTCGTGGGATTGACACCTCATAAGTCATTTGCCGATATAAATCCAGATCCTATCATTGCAAAACGATTGAAGGAATTTTATGGCAGTCCTGAGGATCTGGAATTGTATCCGCGGGTGGTCGTCAGGAAAACTAAACCCCCCGTGGTACCCGGTAGTGGTTTGTGTACAGGGTAATAGTATTAGTTATAGTATCCTTGAGTGATGCCGTTGGGTTGGTTAGAGGGGATAGGTTTTATACTACGGATTATTCGCCGGGGTACTCTTACTAACTGGGGGGTTCGTTTATTTACTTTTTCCTCTGTCTTTCTTCTCGACCCTCTCAATCTTAAAAAAGTTACTAACATGGCCAAATAGATATAATGAAGTACAATTCGATACCAATATCGATGATGGTGCTGTGCTTTACAAATTAGTCCTTCGAGCTTTCCCGAACTACTTTGAGGGAAATTCTATATATGCTCATTTTCCATTCACAACACCTGAAGTTAACCGTGAGATTCAAAAGAGCTTGGGAAGAGAGGGGTTGTATAGTTGGGAAGTTCCAAAAAAGAAGGCAGAGCTGTCGAGCGTGCAGACTTGGGATGAATGTAAGGGGATTTTGGAGGATTCGGTTAATTGGAAGGTTGGTTTTTCTTTATTCCCAACTATGTGTAGAGGTCACTTTTTGGAGGAAGGCAGTCGGAGAGATACTAACTATGATTAATTTAGGTAACATGGGGTCCACCAATCTCTGTTTTGACTTCGCAAGAATCTAGCGACTCTTCAAAAACCGACAGTTCACCCGCTGTTCTACCCTTCTGTCTCGCAGGTGATGCTCCTGTAAATGCTACCTCTCGCTCTCTTATAATATCTTCTTTCTATAATCTTCCAACTGGTCATGATCATAAAAATGATAAAGAACATCCGGATTGGTCATCTGCACTCAATCAGTTCTACACGGATAATACGGCCGATTTGTTCGAAAAACATAAAGTTCTCATTCCGACTGTTAGCACCTCCGCTTCTACCAATGAAACTAGCACAATCAGCAAAACCTACAGAGTTGACATCGTATCCGACATCTGCAATCGCGTCTTTACTCGTTTTGCAGCTGGTGTTTTCGATATCCCACTGAAACTCGGAATGGGAAATACAGTCGACGTGAACATAACTACAGACCCCGAAGAAGGATACACAGAAGAAGAATTATATGACTCACTTTCCGTTGCATTCATCTGTATCTTCAACAATCTCGACGTTACGAAATCTTTCGCAGTAGATCAACAAGCTCGAGCTATAGCTAAGAAACTTGGAGATATTTTGATGGAGAGGACGAAGGATGGGAAGATTGGTGAAGCTTTTGATGGGTTGAAGGATAAGTTGCATAGTTTGGTTTTTGATGATAAGACTGAGAGACATGTTGAAGGGTGGGTTCAGAAGGAGAAGGAAAGATTGGCGTTGAAGGGGTATGGGAGGGAAATGGTTGAGAGGTTTATAGAGGGGGGGAAGAAGGTGGGTTGGGGTGTTCAGGAGGTGGTTTGGGAACAAATGTTTGTCCTTTCTTTCTTTTTGTTCCGCCATCCATTTTTTCATTTGTTTTTCTTTTCTGAATATTTATTTGACTTTTGTGCTTTGGATTCTCGCTAACAAACCCCTCTTGAAATCAGTCTTCCAACTTCAGCAGCAATGACGGCAAATCAATCTCAGCTTCTTTCTCAAGTTATAGATTATTACCTTAGTGATGCGGGATCATCACATTTACCACAACTTTATACTCTTGCGCATGGAAATAGCAAGGAGGCTGATAATTTATTGTTACGCTAGTATGTTTTCGCGTTCTCTTTTCATTCCCGCAAAATAACACAAACCCAAAATAGAAATAAAAATAAAATCTCAAACTAACATCTTAAAGTTTCCTCGAAGCAACCCGAATCCACGGAAACGTCGCCTTACTCCGTCTTTACTCCCCATCTCAAACCACTTCTCAAACCCCCACATCCACATCCCCATCCAAATCCACCACCTACACCCCAGGAACCGTCTACCTCCTCAACCTCCCCCTCGCTCAACACGACCCTACCGCCTTCCCGGACCCAGAAACCGTCAAGCTCGATAGAAATCTAAATTCCTACCTCACATTCGGACAGGGAAGACATGAATGTTTGGGAAAAAATGCTGCATTGATGGGTATGTTGAGGGTGTTTAGGATTATTATTGGTTTGAAGGGTTTGAGACTTGATGTGGGGAAGAATGGAATGGTGAGTGGAGGGATGAAGAGTGTAGGACAAGGATTGGAATTGGGGTATTTGAGTGAGGAGTGGGGGAATATAGGTCCGTTTCCGATGAGTTTGAGGGTGCTTTGGGATGAGTGAGGAGGGTAGGGTGGGGTGGGGAGGATATGTTTGAGTGGTGTTTTTTGATGGGTGTTTTTGTTTTTCTTGCTTTTTTTGTCTGGGTAGTAAGGAGGTAGGATGGGGGTTTTGTTATGATGTTTGTTTCCTTTTTTATTGATACATCAATATACCAACAACTCTCTACTATCTATATTGAATACTAAATATTACCTACAACAGGTATACTTCTTTAACTCAACTTATTCCCCTTCAAAAATTCAAATTAAGATATTAATCTAGTCGATTCCACTCTAGTACCAGTACTCTACTCTTTCCTAACATCTCACTCACTCTCACTCTCACTCTTACTCCTAGTTATTTACTTTCAAAAAGTGCGAAAAAAAGACTGTATTTTTAAAAATGAATGTATGTATCTAAGTTCTAGGTAACTAGAAACAAAAAATATATAAATATATAAATCTTAAAAATATGATTATGTTTTTATAATTATAGGTTTTTATTTTTAGGAATTTGGGATATTAGGATGTTTGAAATGTTTAATTTGATAGGGATGAGAAGAAGAAGAAGAAGAAGAAAGGTTTTGAAGAAAGTATGAAGTAAGGATATTATAAGAAAATAAATCTATTAATATGGAACGATATGGAGATAAGATGGGATGGGATAGAATAGTCGAGTTTTTGCGGGGGTGGGAGGTTCAGATTTGAGATGAGACGAAAGTGATGGGGGAAAGTGCTGTAAAAGTGAAGATGGTCTGATTTATTTATGAGGTATGAATCTTGGCATCTTGCGTTCAAAACTATGCTTTTTTCATGTTTGATATGTGAGATGGGAATAGAGATGAGTATCGACAAATGAGAAGTTGAAATATGATTTGTTGAAATAATATATACATTATACCCAATGACCAAAACCCCTTAAACACCTATCCTCTAAATCACCACATCCCCTAAATTTCCCAAAAATCAATACCGCTATACATATACGCCTGAATGCACTTTTAGTCATGCCTCGTTATCCGTCGCTTACAAATCCCTTTTTCCAATCCTGTTCGCCATAACCTATCCAAGTACCCGCTTCAACCCTAATATACAACATTCCATTTCCATCCACCACCAATTCCTCTCGCACAAAACATGGCTATTGCACTAGCACCATAACATAAGCCTGTAAACATGATTACACCCCAATAAGACCCATTGCAAGCCTGAATCAAAGCCCCACCAATCGGAACACCGGTTAAACATCCAATGCTAACTACTGAATAACACGTCGCGTAATATCGACCATAATCTTTAGTATCGCATAATTGGCCTACGCAAACAGGTGTTAGACCAACGTTGCTACCGCTTGCGAAACCGAGTATTATGGCGGAACAAATTAGACCTGGTAGAGTGTTTCCGAATGGAAGCCAAACGGCAAAACAGGCGAAGACGGTAAGGCAGAGTGCTATGAGAAGAGTGTTGAATCGACCAATGATATCAGCTAGATAGCCTGGGACGAAGCGGCCAACAACTGATGCACCACATAGAATGGGGAGAGATTGATAAGAAATTGCAGTAGGGAATCCTTCATAGAGAGCGTAAGATGTAATGTAGGTGACTGGAAGGAAAAATGCCCATTCGAGAAGATATACACCCAAGACGGTTAAAGCGAACTCTGGCTTTTTGAAGATTTTAATATCTGGGTGAGGGCTTTGAGCGGTTCGAGTACGGGGAAGACGAGTTTTGATGAGGAGGTTTGCCATAACGGTGACAAAGACGAAGATGAATCCCATTACTCGCATTGTCCATGAGAACTATGTGAATTGCTTAGCAATGTACTGTGTAATATGATGAAGTCAAAAAAGAGAATGCTTACACCAATTTTTGGGATGAGGTTTTCCATGAGAAGGGGAAAGACAACACCACCACACGCACCACCAGTAGCAGCAATTCCTGTGGCATTTCCACGCTTTTTATGGAACCAATGACCGATTGCTGCAACTGAAGGCGTGAAGGTGAGTGAACTGGCGAAGCCACAAAGTACGCTGAACACAACAATCCAATGCCAGTATTCTGGAACAATTAGCTTTGCACGTTTTTGCTTTTTAGGCTCGATAACTTACCAGTACACTCTCCGAATAAAAAGACTGAAAGGACGAGTAAAATGCTTCCTGGTAAGACCAAGTATCTTGGTCCATAGACATCAAACGCAGGGCCAATATAAATGCCACCAATAAACAGAATGAACGAGTACAAGGAGAATATCCACCCAATCTGCGAGTCGGAATATGATGCTAACTGATTGGCAGCCAGGTAGGCTTGAAATGAACCTGTCGAATTCGCAATACCGAAACTGCAAAACATGCCACACCACGAACCAAGGACAACTAGCCAAGCTTGCAATCCACCTTCAGGATACTTATACTCATCTTCGGAATCCGACTCAGATAGCTCATCTACTAGTGGATCGGAAACTGGAGTATAAGTAATAGTGACATCTTTCTCCTTCTCTTGTGGTAGAGCTCCAACCAAGGTGTCATTCGCATTCTTTTCGAGATCAATTGCTGAAGGAGAGTGGTCCATAGTATGTTGAGTCCGAGTTGTTGGTACAATTGAAGAACTCTGCACCTAGCAAGAGGAATCTCCTTCGACGTGCAATACAGAGTGTAAAATGAGGGTTCAAAATTCGAGATAGTGTTAAACAATATGGAGTAGGTCTTGATGCTGAGGGAGACTTCCTATATGCTTTTAATATGAATGTAATGATTGCAGTAAAAATTGAACGGACAACCACCTCATATATGATAGATGCGCCAGAGAGCCTCAGCTTGAGGAAAAACTCTGTCTAGTCACCAATGCCCAATGCTACAGTCCAGCATGACTGAACATCAACCCCTTTTGGAAATCTAGCCCTCTTTCTCAGAGCCGACAGCAAATATGCTGTAACAGTGTGATCACTGCGAAGCTCCATATCGCACACACTAATGGCTTGACAATGCTAGCTTGTGAAGTTTACGCAGTACAAAAAAAAATTACCAACTCAAAATCTGGAACAAAATCCGCAGTAGGATTGCTTCGAACGCTCTGGAGCATAAGATTGGGCTTATGCCACTCGTGATACCCAACATAACGAAAAAAGCAGATGAAATTGCGCAAAAGGGAAGAAAATTTGAAAGGAAGGGAAAAAAAAAAACAAAATGATTCTCCACCATTTTGCGGTCAACGGGGAACCTTTCCAGCTCACCGCAAGCTTGTTAACTTGTTAGGCTTCGCGGGGCGGAAAAAATTACCGAATCTGGAAATTTAATGCACATTCAATAGATCGATTCAATCCTCGGTACCGATTTGTATCCATTTTCTCATAGAGAAAGTTAACAATCTGATGTGAAAGCACTGATGGAGTGACAAATTTGCTGTTGTTTGAGCATGAAGGGACAAAGAATGAGAATGATTTGGCGACATGCAACGAGAAATTAGCGCGGAAATCTCGGTAAAAGTTTCTCTGAATTGTCCTTTTTTTATATTTCCACACTCCACTCAACTTTTCCAGCTCATCGTACTCTGCTCTCCTCCCTCGTACTCTGTACTCTGTACTCATCCTTCATCTACACCTCATCTTTTCACGCTTCCACCCTTCGAAGATCTTCATCTCGTACCATAAATCTTTGTTTGAATGGAAATTACCATCATATCCGGCATTCCACATGATCTCGATCAAAGCTTCATCTTCCTTGAAGGCTCAGACCTTCATAAGGCTCCCTCGTATAACAACGTGTTTGATAAATCACCACACCGGGGAATAGTGTTTTTCATGCAGTGCGTGCAGGGTCCTCAAACATTTGTTCTAGAATAATAGGATTGGGCTGGAAGACTTCTCTGCAGCAGAATTTAGAAACTATTATCAATCGAATCCATCTTATGAGGCGCTTAAGATGCATTCGGGTCGCGCACATACCATTTTGGTTGTGGGGATGAGTGACAACCACGGTTGAATGCGCAGTCTTTGCCTTTCTCCACTTGTTTTCACTTAGCTCTGGGCACGTCTTTCACATCGAATGTGATTCGAAATGTCTGAGAATGCTCACATGGCTCGCAATATCATGATCGGTGTGCCGTCGCTTACGAGTGTAAGGTTAAAGTTTCTAGGTCCAGTGGGGAACTCTTTTTTTTACCAGCAGAAATTTTTACCCCTGGAGAAAAAACCCTTGCGAGAAATAGGCAAGAAAATACATCTTCCACTTAATGATTTTCTGCAGGTGCATCAAAGGCGAGCTAATATCTAATCAATGCCCCTTTCAAATTCGGGATGGCAGGTCCCAGCTGCGGGTCCCAGCTTCCAAAATTTCAACCTATATATATATATATTTATATACATTGGAGCTTAAGCTTGGGCCATGCGAAATCAAAATTTACGCTACTCACGGAAGGAAACTTAAACTTTGAGGTCTTGAAAATGTTGAACGTCTGAAAGTTAGATTTGAAGATGCGTTGTCAAACTTTCTTGGTGCACGGCTACACCTATTAGACCTGTCTGTGTTATGAATCTGGAGAGTCGACAGGAATATCAACGAAGGTGTTTTTGTTGCGCAATCCTAAATTCAAGGCCAGTAGCATGCAGATCGCGTTTATTTAGGTATGTGTTACAACATATTAGATGAAAAGTCCTGAATCGCGAGAATAGTGGAATAACCATGATTCCTACTAATCGTGCAAGATTTTTTGACTTTGCGTTTCCCTTAAAACCTTGACCATTTGCCTGATCTACGGATGATCAGGAATTCTTTCTTTCTTCGGACAATTCAAATTTCTCGTGTTCTATTCTATCTACAAAGCATAATATGTATTGACAAAGAAGAGGCTCATTTGGCCGACTATGTACCGACAACCAAAGGAGCCAACGCTATGATAGAGCTATTGTGATAGGCAATGTAAGGAGGGGCTTTTTAATTTTAAAATTCATGTTCATTTTTATATTTGCAAATCTACCATAGGATCGGTCAACTTCTTGAAACTTCAATCATGGCAAGTTCAACAAAACTTCAAGGATACACTTTCACTCGCGTGAAGTTACTCCGACGAAAAGAAGTAGAGAGTGGGTGAGTCTCAATACATGTTCAATGAATCAGTTCGATAGGCTAACCCTGCAGACTATGAGTTTGTCGGATCTCTTTCGTCTACTGCTCAAGCCGCCAGCACGATTGTTCATCGCATTTAACAATATAAATGGCCGCTTATTCTTGACCCCAGTGGACAAATACATTACTTATATCCCGAATCCCGTTTTACCCACCTCAAACAGCTCATAGGAAGGACTGCTCTTTTTGAGATTATCAAAAAAAAATACCCAGGGAAGCGATTCTTCGTGCCCACCACGTTTCCTGCGTGTCCCTTGATTTTATCATTGATAAAAATGGTCGAGACACTGGAGATGTACATTAGCGCTACAAAGTTTTTGGATACGTATTGGGTTGGAAAAGAGAAGAAAATAAGAATGGAGTTTGTACACAAAAATTCTCAGGTTCGTGAGCGTTCACGACCTCCTTTTACCAAACAACTGGGAAGCTTCTCCGACCTAGACCGGGAATAAATGCAATCTGTAGCTGAGTCCCGCAGAGCATACATCATCAACTCATGATGTGCAGGTACTGTGAATCTTGCAACTGAATTCCTTTTGTCAGTCCCGCCGTCATCCATCTTTTACCCTACAGCAGTTGAATAATGACCAGCCCAATTCTGTTCCGAGACAGAATGTTCCAAGAAAAAAGGCAAACTCGCAAAAAGTGTCGAGGTAATTGCCTTTCTCTTTAACACACCCCTGACACTTGAATAGCCCGAAGCACAGGATGGAGCAGAACCCGAGAGCGTCAATATTTGACTTTAAGGGATATCAGTTTCTCGTGGAACCTATAAAAACATTATTCTCGAAAAGAAAATTATTTTTAGCAAGACTCGAGCTTCTATAAAACAAAAAGTCGTGAAATTTTCGGAAAGATCAGATCAAGAGCAATACTATCAAGGACAGCGCCGAAGATATCAGATTCGATGATAAGAACTTGGAAATATCCGTTTTGTCGATATCTTATTGCCCAAATGCTCGCTTCGGAGATATCGTCCATACGCAACCTTTCCCTTTTGCTTTCAAATGAGATTGTTTCTCAGCCGTATATGTTTGAGGAGAAAGGTGCGGATGATAATCAAGATGTGTGTGCTCAAGCTGCGTGGAATTGTGATGCGTTCTACAAGATCATGCCCAATCTTGGATGGTATATTTAATGAACAGAAAAACTCTGTCTAACGCTGGAACCATGTGTTCAGAGCGAACTTTCATGGGAATAATGTCTACTCAACGGAGGTATAGGACTTGAGATTCTTTTAGTGATGATGGTCGTATACCATGCTATTATGATCGGAGTCGAGGATTATTCATGTTAAATGGTCCAACCCAGTTCTACAATGCTTAAAAAAGAGGTAATCATTCTTAACATGAATTTCATAATTCACTACAAATTAGCTAAATACATCAAACCTGTGCCTTCCGCACAACCGACATACTCTGCATCCAAATCCTTCGACTTCAAAACACACAGCTCCACAAACAAAACCGCCTTTCCCTTCTCCAACTGACCACCCGGTCCATAAAGACTCATAACCGTTTTCCTCAACTCTACATGGCCCTTATGCGAACGTCCAGCCTGCTCAAAATGCGCCAAGTCCAAAAAATAAGCGAGTTGATTCGTCTCAGCAATAGCCTCAGTATCAAGCTCTAAATCCGCTTTGGGGTCGAATTTGTCATTCACAGTTTCTGGTGCGGGATTCTCGTGTCCAATATGAGTGGTGAATGCTATGACACCATTTTTATTGCGCTCAGTGTCCAGATGGGATATCCACGATTGTGCGTGGGGATTTATTCGCTTCAGCCAGGCTTCGGTTTCCGCGGGAGGAATGTGAGGTTGACGCTGCCCTTCTCGGACAAAGATCAGGTTTTCGGGAGGGTTTGAGATGCTGACTCTTCCTAATTTGATCTTGGAGCTACGAGGGTTGGGTATATCAATGATTTTTCTCGTTTCGTTAGTCTTTGCCTTGGTGGGAGTGATATAGGATGAGGTGAATGTATCTGATGGTTCGGTGTGAGAATCCGGTGTCTCGGAAAGTCGATGACGGTATACGCCCCAGTATCCTTCATCGTTGCTCTGTTTGAATGGAAGTAATGTTCCCATTGCCGATGGGACGGGCTGGCTTGAGGCGAACATGAAGCGGGATTTAGGGACCGTCATTACCTCGCGCCAGACGCCCGCGTCAGCAGGTAAGGAGGCCCAAAAGTCCTTGACGGGAGATGATTCTTTCCATAATTTGTAGGAAGAGGAGGATAACCAGTATGCAACGAAAGTTGTGGATTTGGGGCCGTGGCGAGGAAGCCCGTGACTTTCGTCTTGGAGGTGATCGACACGATTGGCGGATGAAGAGAGGAGTTTGTAGAGGGTGGAGATAGATGTTGCTTTTTCTAGGGTAAGTTCTTCGTGCTGAACACCGAAGATTCCATAGGTGAAAACATAATCTTTTCCGTCTGTGTCGATTAAGAAAACCATAATGGGCAATGAATGATATACAGTTGATATTGTTGAATAATGAGCTATTTGCACTTGTCTTGGAATATATATATATATATAGATATGTTAAGCCCTAGCAACGGAGCATAGGAATATAAATGTGGAAGTAATGTGAAAGGAGGTTGGAGACTTTTCATACTCGTGCTGCCAGAAAGTATATGACTGTCCACTTAAACATGGGCCACTATTCCTCTTGTAGTTTACCATTATATGGTATATGCTTAGAAGTGGATAGCCATATACTTACTAGCAACACGAGTATTACTTCAGTATATATGTTTGCGATATTTGATTTTTAAATGACTCGCTTATACTTTCATGTTGCGGATGCAATACCCGCTTTGATAACGCTGAATAGACGGGGCACTTTAAGATAGGCTTATTGCGATTATATGCAGAGCAAATTAATAATCGGGTGGAGCACTGACTTATGATCTATCACTGTGTCTTTTTTTCCTATTCATATACTGTACAGAGTGTAGAGCAGCCAAATAATAAAAAGAGATAAAAGATTATAAAGGTAGATTAAAATCCGCCCTAGGAGTAAAAGTCTTGTTAAAATTTTATAATATAATATAAAATATAAATTATTTTTTTCAAGTATATTTATAATAAAGTTAACATCAAAATTTTATTTTACTTTGATATTTGAAAAATTATACAAGTACTTATAGTTTTCAATCAAAATAATTAAAAATTTAATCTCTATTAAATTTATGAAATCATTAATTTTGATACAAGATTTAGTTTTTGTCATTGCAAGGGTGAATCGACGAACAACTGGAAACGATTAGTTTCAAGTACAGTGCTTTTTTGGATGACCATGGAAAAATTCCCGCTGCAGAGTCCGAGAAAAGTTTCATGTCGATTGCCAACAGACTAGAACTAATATATTAGCCTTTCATAACATCACGTCTTGAAGAGATGCTATCTTACTGGTAAGGATAGAAAGTGCCTCATAGACTCATACATTCATGTTCTAGATTGATGAAAGCTCCCGATATTTACCATTGATCGGACAATACGTTATCTAGAAGATAGGAGCAATATTTTGAGTTTAATGAACATTTACAGGAAGACGTTATATACTGGCTGGCATTATATCACGGCGTCACAACAACATGTTAATGCGGAATTAGTACCGCGAGAACTCCATTTTAACAGCCACATCAACCCTAAAGTGTAAAACTCCGAGCGTGTGTTAAGAAGAGGGAAACCTCGAAAATGGGGAAGTTCGACCAATAAGAATGATTATTCCCTTAGTTTTAGTAGGTTACAGATAAGGCTCAAGCCGCTCCCTTATCGGGCGAACTCTACTGAGTGCGGGGAAAAGCTAAGATCTTACAAGCATTATAGTCAACTTCGAAAACCTCCCATCTTCAATATTGGAGGGCCATATTGCTCTGTATCTGTATACAGATAACATCAGGTACGTACCTGATGTTATCTTATCAATGATAAGATTGCGGGGTTCCGGAACTGCGAGATGCGAACTTGGAATAATACATAAGAACAAAGGGATGCTTATTGCAAGGCTCACTTTCTCCATCATTTCATATCTTACATCTCTCTAACGACTACCTATCGCTCATCATTCCAGCGAAAACATGGCTAGCCAAACCTCTCCCAAATATCGTGTCGCTGTTACTCAGCATGAGCCAGAATGGTTTGATCTACAGAAGTCGGTGGAAAAGACATGCCGTATTATCACAGAAGCTGCTGAAAACGGTGCGCGATTAGTTACTTTTGCAGAAGCATTTATCCCAGGCTATCCTGCTTGGATATGGTGAGAAACTCCAGAGTTTAGGCCCAGATTTGTGATGTTAAGTGAACAGCAGGACTCGTCCAGTCGATCCCGTACTCTCTACTGCCTACATTAAGAATTCACTAGTCGTCGATTCTGATGAGATGAAAACCATTCAAAACTGTGCTGCTAGGCATGGCATTGTCGTATCTCTAGGCTTTTCCGAAAATGACAACAATTCCTTGTACATTGCGCAGGCTATCATCGACGGCGATGGGTCGATAGTCATGAAGAGAAGGAAGCTTAAAGCTACACATATGGAGCGTACAGTTTTTGGAGATGCTTCTGGGGATAGTCTTTTGAATGTTGCTTCGACTCGTGTTGGAAAGGTTGGAACTTTAGCTTGCTGGGAACATTGCCAACCGTTGCTTAAATATCACACCTTCCACCAGCGAGAGCAGATTCATTGCTCAGCCTGGCCACCCATTACGAACCATACCGGTGGACCTGAGCTATGGTCCATGTCTTTGGAAGGTAAAATAAAGTACGACATCTCAACTGATAGTGTATCACTAACATACATCCTCTAGGATGCCAGGCCCTTTCCCAAGTATATGCGATAGAGTCCCAGACCTTTGTTCTTCACGCCACGACTGTCATGACAGAAAAGGGAGTTAAAGCCAATTCTTCAGAAGCTGGAATGCTTATGTCGGCACCTGGTGGAGGTGCTTCAGTCATCATCGGTCCCGATGGTCGGGTCATGTCGTCACCCCTTGGATCCACAAGCGAAGGAATTGTCTACGGGGATATTGATCTAGATCAAGCCGTATTTGCGCGTAGTTTCTTGGATAGCTGTGGACACTACAGCAGGCCTGATCTTTTGTGGCTTGGATGTGATACCCGTGGACGTAAACTGAGAATTGAAGGAAAGTTGTAAGGAATGGAGAAATTCCCTTAGTAAAATCTTTGTTGCAAATCTAGCTTCTATTGTTCTACTTCGGATCATACACTCAGCATTCGTTATTCAAATCCAGTTAGAGAATCTCTTTAGAGAGAAAAATATCATAGGTAATGATCACATAGTATTTTATATTTCTCTTAGCTAATTTGATATGGGTTAACTAAAATAACTATATAAGCATATAAAATTTTCGGCACATTCCATCGCGTTTGACACACAAGCTTCAAAAAGTCCCTCAACTCACTCCTGTATCTAGAGAACAATTTTCACGTAGTCTCATTGCATATTCAGGTGGTAGTATTGCCAATAGATATGTGTCAGCATAATACGACTCTATATTGTATTTCAATCGCAAGCTCTTTCAAGGGGGCAGGTCGAGGCTAAGGATAAGCGACTTGGGGATTTCGGGCTGCGGAAATGTATGTAATGATCAGATAGTTGATAGTATAGAATAGAAAGCTAACATGTACTATATAGCGTTCCGATGTAACTCCAATAAAGAACAAAATGATAACAGGAAGTAGGGAATTGGACAATTAGTGCTGTGCTCCAATATCACTCATGGAAAGCAGTGTTCCCAAACTAGCCTATTTATGTGCGCTATAACCCTTGTCTAATTGCTATATGACACTAAATTTCCAGGGGTTTTCGGGTGTTCAGCTTACGATTTCAGTAGGTTGACAGCCTGTAAATTTAGCGACTAGTTTATGGTAGCGTGTTAGTCCACAGCCACAGCGGCGGGAGCGTGACTTCCTTCTCCATTACGTTGAATCTTATTTGAAGACTTCCAAGCGGTCAGCTCACAACTTCTATCCTCTTCCCTCTCGAGGTCGTCAACTTTGGTGATTCTATCCACCATCAAGCAGTCTCAAATTCAGCCAGATGTTTCTGATCAATAATCATACTCCGTAGTGCGACAACGCCTCAAATGAGTAATGACGATCTCGTAGCAGGATAGCTGAGAATACGAATGGCTGGATCATGTTACATGATAATGTAACCAGCTCCCCATTTTGAGATTGGAACAAGCCGACTGTGATGATGACTTAAATGGATTATCCCTTACCATTGGTCACTCGCCAATCTAATAACTTCATCAATCCCGGCGATCATATTCCCCTCGGTTTACGAGATCCCGAATATGTTGTGCGCGTTGCAAAGTTCAAGCGATGATGTACTTGGCGATTGCTGCAATATATGCAGATGCTTCTCAATGAAGTAAAATTCACGACACAGATCGCCCACGTCCCGCCACTCCTTGTCAGCTTCCTACGAGAACCAATAATGTTAAGGTTATGGCGCCGCTTACCTTCTCTTCATATAAACGAATTTTGTTCTTCTTGTCTTCCTTTTCTTCTTGCCTTTCTTTTTTTTCCTGTGTTTCATTTCTGTCTTCCTTTCGTTCTTTTGACTGGTCAATTGACCATCAATTCCCAAACTCATAATGTCAACCCAAAATCCCACCGAAGCTACACCATTACTCGATCCCTCACCAGAGCCCCAATCCGAGATTATCTATCCCAATGATGAGACGTCAGATTCCAATGACTCTATCCCAGACGATCCTACTACTCTCCAGGTGTGGATACTCATGTTTGGGCCCTTTCTTTCCGCCTTCGTATCATCGGTTGATTCCTCCATGATTGCTACTCTTTCATCCCCCATAACCTCCTCCTTCGGCTCACTATCCCACCTTTCTTGGCTTGCCTCTGCGTATTTTATTGCCAATGCGGCGATTCAACCTTTATCTGGAAAGCTCACTGATATCTATGGAAGGCGAAATGGACTTGTGCTTGCTAATATCGTGTTCTCATTGGGAAACTATATGTGCGCAAGCGCGGAATCCGAGTGGATTCTGATCGCTGGTAGGGTGGTAGCAGGGCTAGGAGGAGGAGGAATCATGGCAATTACCACTTTTCTCTTATCTGATCTAGTTCCATTGAGAGAAAGAGGTGTGTGGCAGGGTGTTGGGAATATGATATCGGGTGTAGGTTCCGGTATTGGAGGTGTTCTTGGGGGGTGGATCAATGATAGTTTTGGTTGGGAAGCTGCATTCTTCTTGCAGATTCCCATTACGCTTCTGGCGACAATATGGATGTGGTTCACGATACGCATCCCTATTGTGGATGATGGAGAGGGAAAATCAAAACTCAAACGAATTGATTATCTGGGGTCAATCAGTTTATTCATAACTCTCGTTATGTTACTTCTCGGTATGAGTGCCGGAGGTAACACTGTATCTTGGACAGATCCCATCGTCTTAATCAGTCTCCCCCTATCCTTCATATCTCTCATAGTTTTCATCGTCACGGAACTCAAATACGCCAAAGAGCCCATCATTCCCCTTCCTCTCCTCTGCGACCTATCCGTTGCCGGCGGCTGTCTCACAAATGCCTTCTCCTCCGGCTCGCGCTTCGCAGTGATATTCTACTTACCCCTCTTCCTCGAAGCTCAAGGCTACACGGCAACACAGATTGGTCTCCGTCTAATACCAGGCTCACTTGGCACTGCAATCGCCTCCATGATGGCCGGCCTCATTGTAAAAAGCACTGGACGATTCTCTAAACTCGGTATCGTCTCTCAAATCATCTACCTGCTAGGCATGGTTTTCATCTGTACATTTACGTTACACACATCTGCATGGCCACCTTATGTCTGGTTCTTCGTCATCAACATCGGATATGGCATCACGCTTACCACCACCATCCTGGCGCTATTATCATCAGTGGGAGCAAAGGATCACGCTGTTATCTTATCTGCACTTTTTGCATTCCGCTCAACAGGGACTGTTTTGGGGATCTCGATTGCGGGACTTACATATCAAAACGTGTTGGGAAGATTACTATGGGAGAAACTTGGAGGGATAGATAATGCGGCAGAACGCATCCAACAAATCATCGATGATTTCAGGGTGGTGAATGGACTCGAGGAAGGACTGAAGCAATTGGCTTTACAGGCCTATGTTGGTGCTGTAAGGGCTGTGTTCTTCGTATTGTTGGGGATGGGATCTTTAGCTCTGGTTTCGACGTTGCTGATTCGTGATCGTGAATTGTCTCGTAGAATGGCACGATGATCTCACGACATACGACATATATAGGGGTTGGGATTGTTTGATGTGCGGGGGTATATATACAGATATCAACATTGCATCGCAGTGCCAGTGGCACCATGATCATTAGTCTGTACTAGCAGACTCCGGAGTAGATTTGAAAACTTTCAATGTTCACAAGGCTTAAAAGTTTATAGATGTACTGAATATTTTGGAATGGATTCGATCATTTAATTAAATTAAATATCTAAGTTAGATGGAATAATCAACTAATTATGTCTTATTTTGAAATTGCAGCCCAGAGTAACTGAAAACACTGTTAGCCACCAATTAATTAACCCATCAACTCTCCATTAAACATCCGCGTATGATCCGCCAGTCAATCTTGCAAAACATTTAAGAGCAAAAATGAAACGATATCTGTCAAAGCCAAACCATTAGTACCGAGACCCAGAAACATACATCGATATCACACAACGTAGATATCTCCACGCCCACCATCACAAACATTCTCATCAACATAGATGAACCGAGCACGATCAACAAAGCGCGCAAGTGTAGAGCTCGCAGGAGGCGATAGAAGTTGGGAAGCTAAAAAGGACTCTTCGACAATTTTTCCAAATTGATAAGATACATCCGATGGCCTTTTAGTTGAATCATCAAGATTCCACAGAACTTGTGCTCTCTGTTCTTCTTCTGCTGTCCAAGTCTTCGCTACCGGTAACTGTGCTGGATCTACTACTTGCGAGGTTAATTTCGGGTGAGGAATTATGGAAATCGCACTGACCATGTTGTTCATCTGCGTTTCTCTCATTCATGATGTATCTCCCAATGAAAGTTTTCCTGACTTGTTCGCATATCTCTTCAACTTTTTGTTTTACTAGCAGCGGAGTCCTGCCGAGTATCGTTCCCTTCGCAAAACCAGTTCCTACCCATGTTCCTCCAGAGTAAAGATTGTAGTATGGGATCCCTTCCATTGTACCTCGTTGATATTTGAAAGCGGATTCATCATCATTCGAATAAGCGAATTGGGGAGGTGTAGTGAAAACTAAACCGAGAGACCGATATTTATACTGCCCAAAAAACTCAATCCATTCCTCTGCCGAAAGCTTAGGACGGGTTTGGAAGACCCATACATCCTGCTCGTTAGATCTAGATATATTCTCAGTAATAAATAGGGAGATATTCTTTTCGAATTGTTGTTCTAGGGATAAGAGTCTCCATAATCTAGTTCTCTCAGCTTCATTACGCACTCCCCCGGAAACATCATAACTATTTCCTTCTTCTCTTTCAATTATTTCCCTTACAAGTTCCGATTCAACCCTCGTCTCATACTCCGGAATACCCGCAACATACTCCACACCCGACAAGCGAAAATGATCTCTCAATCTCTCCCACATATCTTCTCGAGTACCAGTGGTGTCCAAACCCCGAAACGCACAATACGCACGCCATTTCTTGAGTGTCTCATTGGGCGGATCTATTCATTCTCTTTCGGAGAAGCCTATTTTTGCCGGCAGTGTTCGAGGATGGAGAGACCATTTTAGCAGACTGTCGCTTTTGTTGGCTTCTCCTTGATACATTAGTTTACCTTCCCCATTGCGCGTAAAGTCTTTCATATCCTCGTGTGCAATTTCTATGGGGTGGATGAAGACTGCTGTTGGGTTAGAGACGTATGTGGTTCTGATTCTGACGCCCTTGGGAGGCTTGATTTTCTTCGGTTTTTTGGGCTTGATTATCTTTGGTGGCTTGGGGGTTTTGACTTTGTTCACCTCAGCGGTGGTCTTTTCTGGTATAGCAGGGGTTTGGACAGTCAAATCTATCAAGCGAGGATTGGATGACGATTCGCCATTATCTTGTGTAGTCATATTTTGCTTCTGGCGTTTCGAAGGTCGTTCTTCTACTCTGGGGCCGGAATCCTCCTCTGCGACTAGTTCTCCTTCCGTACCTATATTATCTTCTGGGTCTGCTTTTTCTCTGTGGAGTTCCGTAGCTCTTGATACTTTTCCGCTACGTGTCCAGCTTCTAGTTAGCATGGTAGGTTGGATATTTACCCATTCTGCTCTATCGTCTACTTCTTTTCCTTTTGTAGCGATTGCGACAGCATTCTTGCTTGGCCTGCCTTTTTTCTTGGGGGCATTTTCTGTCAATGCTGGTGAAACTTCTTCGCTAATTGATGACTGGGAGGTGGTTGAAGATGACGGGTGCCCTTTTCGTTTCTTGGAGGCACGAGCCTTAGTAGTTTTCATCGTGTCAGATTAGCATGATCGCATACGGCTATGATCGGCTAGCAAATTATGGAGTAAAGTAGTCTGTACCTGAGATTTCAAAGTACGATTTGTGAGAGGATCCCTCTGTTTAAGTAATTTTGGGAGAACACTATTATGATGTGAGATGGTGAGAAATTAAGTATCACAAAATGCCTGACGATGTCCAGTGGAGCTCGCTCACAAACGGAGAGAGCGGAAAATGAGAATTTCCAGGGTAATAAGTAATGGTTTGGACGATGCTTGGAGCGGGTTAACTACACTTCAGTCTAATAAAGTACTAAGTATGCAGATAGGGTTCATTGATCCTTCACAAATCGGAGTGAAAGGGTGCGGAGTTAGAATAAGGAGCCATGCTATGTTATGCATATGCACGAAATTCGTCGAAAGGAGAAACATCTACCGAAAATTGTGGTACTAAATAGCAAAATGGCATGATTAACCTAAATGAAATAGAAGTAACTAGGTATTGAGCCTATACTAATCTTTCATTAAGTCAAGGATTAATAACATGTGATGCTCTCATAGCTCTCTTCTGTATACATCGTATGGGTGTAGGATGTGAAAAAGAAAACACTAAATGCATTGTAACATTGAAAAGAGAATGAACACAAATTATGCTGCCGCGCGTTTAAAGAGTCATACTTCAAAAATTAGGGCGAACTCATGTAAGTGATATTGCGACGTACATCGGCAGAAGTGTAACGATACTGTACTAAAGGCAGCGGCTGCCTAAGGTTCGTCGGTTGGTAGTTATGGGTTAAGGCTTTACCACTGATATTTATTTGAAAGTGAATTCGTTACTAGATCAAGTAGAATGTAGATAAACTAATTGATAACTAAATTGAACATAAAGCTTTTAGATTATGAAATTACTTTAACTATATATTTCTGAATCTTATTGGATAGCCTGAATAGATTGATCTATCTGGGCTATCTTTTAGATTAGATAGACTAATGTAGTTTATTGTAACGATGCTGTACTGGAGGCAGCGGCTGCCTGAGGTTTCGTTTGGTTGATAGTTGTGGGTTAAGGCTTTATCACTGGTCTTCACTTGGAAGTGAAGTCGTTACTAGATCAAGTAGAATGTAGGTAAACTAATTGATAACTAAGTTGAGCACAAAGCTCCTTAACTACGAGACTAAATGAATGTTTATATACCCTATATCATCTTTTGAGGACCTTTGGGACCCTAAGGTCGAAAAGGTCCTCGAGGTCACGTGAATTAATGAATCGTGACAGAGCGGTCGAATTCACAGAATGGAAACTCGAGCAAATAATCTTAATTTGACTGAAAAAGAAAAAGAGGTGTTTATTCAGTATATTATCGATATAAATGAAAGAGGATTTATATCTAAATTAAATAATATAAAAGATATAGCGAATTATATTCTCGAATCAAGAGATGCAAAGAGAATTGGAAAGTTCTGGGCTTATCGATTTGTAAAACATTATATAAAATTAAAGATGTATTTTAATTGTATTTATAACTTTCAAAGAGTTTTTTGTGAAGATTCTAAATCTATTGAAGAATCGGTTTGGATTGGTATCGAATATGCAAGCGAAATATAGTATTCAAGATTGCGATTTCTACAATTTCGACGAAACCGGCTTTATGATGGGTATAATATACCCTGGAATAATTATAACTAGTTCTGAACGAAATGGTAGAAGCAAGGCAATACAATTAGGCAATCGAGAATGGGTTACGGCAATTATATGTGGTAATGGAGAAAGTGAAATTATACCTCCATTTCTGATAGTTCAAGGACAAGTTCATCTTTCTAATTAGTATACCGAAACCGATTTTCCTATGGATTAGGCTATTAAACCTACTTCTAATGAATGTTACGACGGCTTCTGGCCTCGTATCATATGACCACGTACGAAGTCATGTGATCCCTTCGATCCCTTCGGTAAAGGGATCGAAGGGACCGAAGGAACGATAGGCATGAAAGTCTATATAATCAAGATGGATTTCCTTTGTATAGAGCTTCGTGCTCAAGATCAATCATTTAGTATACTCTACTATTAGTTACGAATTGCATTATTGTCATTACTTTAAGTGCCTGCTTGACGCCTAGTTATAAACCACCTCGAGAGCCTAGAGCACTTCCACGTGATCTAGACAGCAAACCTAGCCGCTGCCTCCAGTACAGTATCGTTACATAAATATTGATTAAATAAGGATTAAATAAGGATTAAATAAGTATTAATTAAAACACACAGATAGATGAACCGACACTTGCATGTAAAGAATCTAATCTGGAGACCTACTTCGGTCACGCTTCCGCAAATTATATGCACTGCATTCCCCATCGAAATATCCAACCACAAACCCGGTCTATTTACATAACCTGCAGTTAAAGTTACACCTCTTCGCCGGGAAAATGCCACCGGTAAAACCTACTCATCACAGAACAGACACCCACGGAAATAGCCGCTCGCAAAGCTTGGTAAACACTTTCTCTTCATGCAATGCACATCAACTAAACTTTTAGTTAAGCTTCCCCGCCAACACTACTGGATAGTCATCAATAAAAATGTTCTATCCGAACACCCGAGCCGTCTACTCATACCATGCATATGTATCTTTCTTGCCGAGATAGATGGCTACAAACCATATCCCCAGATACTTTTCCGCTCATACAATACACCTTTATTCATCCCTTGTAAAGCGATTTCTACATTATCCAATAGTCCTCCATGATCATAGAAGAATGACTCATAAAACCAGGGTATCAAAATAAAACAGAACTTCTGCTAATTTCACCACTTGTACTCCCTACAGAATTTAAACCCAAAATATTGCGCAAGGATTGCTTGATTGCTTGCATCTCTACCAAGGTAAGATACTATTTCCAGGACATCAGTCGCTTGTAAATTTAAACAGTATAGACCAACCAAAGAACATCTGTATGCATACCTGAGGTGACACCAATACTTTTGCAGTAAAAAGCAGAAGAGAAGACTCACACTCTCAGGGACATAATATCCGCCAACAATGTAGCTTTCTAATGAGTCGTAACATGGTGCAACTCAAAATCATAGGATACCTTCGAAGACTTTCCAGCAGGCATACATGCATGCATTGAGGCAGCGAATATTAATTGGCCAGTTCCTTAAATCTCATATCCGCCAGACTAAGAAAAGCCGTGCGGATTTATGCTAAGATTTGTAAACAAGTAAATTGTTGAGGAGGGGACCACCTAGTAATGTATGAAATGGCAGAGGTGGAATATAACGTTTTTGTACTATCCTGAAGTGCCCACCATGATACATCCATACCAAGCAACCGCCTCATTATCATTATACATATTTCCTATGGTCTACATAGTGACATTCACTGTAAACACATCATATACACCTATCGAGTATCCTCGCCATAGGCTCCCTTACTGTATTGCACTGCGCGTATGCTCACCCTAGCAATGGCTCCGCTCGTGAAATTATACACGGTCTCAGAAACGCTACAACAATTGTGCAATATTAAGTAGGTATCTTCTATCCATCTGACCGGCCCTTTTTATGCCGCTTATTTTTAAATATATGTACCCTCGGACTCATCTCATACTCGAAGTCATCATCCGCTTCAAGCTGTGCTCCGTCCATCAATAATTGCCTTCGAGTTTCGGGCTCCAGCTCATTAAATTCAAATGTCAGAGACAGATTACGCATATGAGCGACAAGATCTGAACTTTGTGTAGGTGTAGGAAGAATTGGAAGGGGATCAGGTGTCATGTTAATATGTATTTCATCCTGCTGCCGAGCCTGAAAATAAGGTATCAAGGCTTTCGTACCATCTTGATCTATATGGGCTTCAAAACGATAGAGACCAAACTCATGATAGTTTGGACCCTGGACTGCACCAATAGCCGGGTCTGGATTTATAGTTATATAGTGTTGTAGAACAAAGTGGTTGGAGATCTCAACGCCGGTGTCGAAATCTTGTATACTGTGGTCGTCCGGTGGAGCAGGCTCCGGATGGTGCTTGATCAGCCGAGGTCCTCTGAGATATGGAACACCACGGTCTTTATTTTTAGGCTGGGCTCCTGATTGATTCTCAGACTCTTCCAAGTCAGAATCCTCTAGTTCGGGATCATCCTCACTTCGTGTTAAAAGATGAACCTTTCCCGTTGCATCACCAATAATAAGCTTAGAAAAGTCTGAGGAGAAAGCTCCGGCACCTATTCCACCAGAAGCCACGAGCATCTCACGAACAAGTGCTTTCCCGCGCGGTCTCTGTATATCCCATACCTTAACTTTACCATCAGAAGCACCTGTATAAAAACGGTCAGATGTCTTTCCCCAAGCAGCAAATTTAACACCGGTGTCTGCAAGTTCACGAGGAAGGTCATGATAAGGATTATCGAGTGATTCTTTGGTTCATTAGCATAATAAATCATGGAAGTATGTAGCGACTCTCACCTCCATGAGGAAGAACATGAATTGGTTCATCACCGATGGCTCCGGTATCCCAAACATAAGTATTCCCATCGGTGCAGCTTGCGGTTACATAGCACTGAAGAAGGCTGTTGGGCCTAGAACTACATCAGCAGGTGAATAAAAGGTTTAAGCTGATTACTTACATAATCGTTAGTTCGTTAATATCCATTGCTGGACAATCAAGAACTCTAATTGGATAGAAAGCGGTATAATTATCATTGTCCGTCCTTGCTGCAAATAACCTGATCTGTGTTTTTGCTTCGCTCTTGAAAACGCCACAAGGAGATGTAGCAGCAACAAAAGCTGGTTTATTTGGATGCCAAACAACCTCAAACACATTCTGGTTACGCGCAGAAGCAATAGGAACCCTTGACCCATCGAGGGCATTCCACAAGCACAACTCTCCACTATTTCTCTTATCTTCAGGAATGTCAACCTCATCGTTGCTAACTGAACGTGGCGAGTAGCCAACGAGTACTAGATGCGATACATTTTCTGCTTTGCCCCATTGTATGGTCGCAGGATAGTATGCCCACACATCTCTACTGCGTAATTCCTGTGCTTGTTCGGCGGCTTTCTCGCCATTGTAGGTATCAAATGATGATCTACTCACATTGCTTACGTCAAGGCGATAGACACGGACGGCGTTGTTATAAACATCAGAAGCTGTAGCCACAAGGCCATGATGCTCCGAGGTTGTAACAAAGTTGACCTTTCCTTCATGTTGCCAAGTCCCAAGAATATCCATTGACGATCCAGTATCGGATGGCGACACCCTCCACACCTTCACCGTCCTATCAAAGCTTGCGGTGAAAGTGAGACCGCTATTTTGACTATGAGAAATTGCTGAGATGGATGTATAAAGCCAAGGATCTTGGGTTTGCCTCATAGAGTCAAGAGCATTCTCGGCATTCTCACTTGCATTCACAATTGGACGTACAACCCGGTGATCTGGTATTGCATCCAAAGACTCCTTGGAGACAGAACCAACGACGAGATTACCCGGCTTGTTATATTGCATGTTATGGTTATCAGAATGTGCAGTAGCACCACATACAAAGGCATCATCACTTGTCCAACTGATAGCCCATATGTCACCGCAACAATCGGTCCATTCGACTTTTCGTTGTAATGAGTCCTCAAGCACAGAGTTAATCTCTCGTGTATATGATCTCTGACCACCGCACGATCGAACGGGGGCCATACCATGCATTTCACGTTGTCTTAAGAGTGCAGAAAACTGTCTCGGACGTTTCGGACCTACCATAAGTGTTCTAGCACTCACCGATATTTCACCAGCAGCAGCATCATTGAGAAAAGCAGTTAATGATTCTGGCCCACGACTATGAACAAGGTCCTCACTAAGATCTTCACAGTGCGCCTCGCGATGTGACATCACCAACGAGACCAGTTCAGGCACTTCTAGCTTTTGCTTTTGCATGAGAAGTCCGATAGTTTGATTTCCTCTTATGGAAGTTTGTGATTGAAGGATTTGGCGGACGATCGATAGCTCTTCCTCAAAAAAGTCAATGTGATAAATATGCCCGAGAATCATTTCCCGTTCTCGATCGGAGACACGCAAGAGACCACGGCGGATTCTCTTTCGACTTCTAGCGTCGATATATGGTCGCAATTTTCCATGTATGGTTTGGCCAGGATCAGCCGTACCACGAGACGACGTCCTGTCAATTAGATCCAGGTCTGTGTCAACATGCATAGCATCGCCGCTAGTGTGCTGTAAGTCATCGAATTCACCACCTTCCTCCTTAGGCGGGGTGTCATGTCGAGGGGACTTAGTATCTGTCGAGGAAACACTTAAAACATCCGCTTGAAGATGTTGAGTTTGAGATCGCGTGCCTCTTGGAGGAATACTGCTTGTTTTCTTTGTTTTTAGTTTATCCTTGCGAGGGCCAGGGGCGCCAGCAACTTCTGTGCCAAAAAATGTAGCTGGAGCTAGGCTGTATGCAACAAACTCGTCTACATAGTGCCTAACTTTCTGTGATATCATGATCTCGTCCTCGCGCGAGACTTCATAACGATTGAAGTTTTCGAACATAGGGCTGTCCACAAGTACGCCAGCAACCGAGCTACCAATCTCTTGGAGCTTCGATGGATTTATCGTTTGTTTATGACGAATCATCGCAGTATTCATGTGCATATAGACTTGGTCATAGATGTTCTCGGAAAAGATTCTAGCCTTATCCTGAGATGATAGAGGAGAGGTAGACTGGATGACTGGAGAGTTTGATACCTCGCTAAAGCTCGAGGTGGCTCGTTTAGGAGGTAGAACAACTGAAACCGCGCCTCCTCGAGAAGCCGCAAATTCTTCATTATCCTGAGCATGCTCACTTAGGTGCTGGGTAAAATCCTGCTCCGTCAACGCTCTCGTCGACCGTCTTGGTTTCGGACCATCTTCGATCGTGGGGCACAGCTCTAAATGGGAGCCTTCGTTCATAGATCCTCCATTTCCTTGTGCTCGTCCATTCGAGTGCTGGGCGGGATGCTGTCCACCCATTCTCCCCATTGTCCGCCGCTTTGTGGTTTCATTGCCTATTGTGGACTGCAGCTCCTGAGGAGAGCTGTCATCTATCATGTCGCTCGACGTTTTTCTTCTCTTTGAAGCACTCCCGACCGCAGAGTGCGACCTCCAGTGAGGCCGTGGACTTGCATCTTTGTTTCCTTCCCAATCTCGTCTTTTCAACGCAGATGTATTAGGGAATAGTGCCACTTCTCTAGTCGCGACAGTAGCCCCTGGCAAGATTGGGGCGAAATCAAATCCATTTTGGAGAGGCATGGCGGCTCGTTTTGATTGTAAGTTTCCTGATAGGGTTGGCGCAAAGTGATTGTCATGATATGAATTTATGTATGTTTGAGAGTTCCTTGTGAAAGGCGCTGGAAATGACCCAGGAATTGTCAAACCATGATTCGACGGCGGCAGGAAAGGTCCACTATCAATCTCGTCGTCGTCTTGTGTCGGATCAATTACCGCTTCGGATTGGTTGTCACTAGTAGTTGATAAGTCGCGTGTGTGAAGTTGAAAGGGAAGTAACTCACGGATGTCGCGTCATGGGAGCCGGGACCATGATGAAGTAAGAATGGAAACGCCGTGCCAACGAGAAAAACAAGGTCCCATAGTAAGTACAAGCAATGGAAATACACGAAAGAAATGGAGATCTAGAGTCGACGTCGAGTTCGAAGAGTGTTTGTAGAATGTTTACAGTATGACGAGGCTAATGATAGTAACTACAGTAATGTAGGGGTATGTTGGTACCTTATCGTTATCGAGGAAACTGCAACGGATAAATGAAACTCCGGTGTCGGTAACGCATGCAAGGCTGACAATTTTCGTCACTTTTATGATATTTTATGATTCTCATAACATTCCACTATGTTTGCTACAATTCCACCCTGTAGTTCATGCAATGATCTATAAGTCGTCACGTACTCATGTCTCATGAATTTTAAGCTTCGTGGCCTTGGTTCTCGGTATTTCCACAGAACACAAACTTATTGCCAGAGATGGACAGAGTAAAACAATCACAACCTATCCTCCTTTACAGATGTGCTTGGAGATATAGAGGCCATACGCAGGTATATCATCGAGGATTGAAACATCACAGCCTCACAAAAAACATCATAGCATCGCTTCACCAATTGGATCCTATTAGTTCGAGACTGATGGTTGCGAAATTTCGCCATCCTAATACTATTTTGCATTTATATCTCATGCAGTAAGTCCTCGTATCTAGCGAGTTTTCTCTAGAGTACAAAATGAATGGCGTGCCCGACTGTCGTTTTTCCCGTGTATGGAATTATAACCTTTAAGCTGGAACTTTAACCTCCTTGCTGATGTCTAACTCCTCATGTCTTCGAAGATCCATTGGTTTGCCGAGGAGTGGAACGACGTATGGGTCGAAGGTCTTCCAGTATGGATTCTCGAGGTGATATTTTTGGCTCTGCTTGGTGAAAAGCTTCAATTAGTATCATTCTGGTGATGGGTATGGCATGCGAGAAATGAATTGCACATACACTTTCTTGCTCGAATCTCTCTACAATGGTGAATGCTCTAGGATCATGTACATCTTGCATAACAATCCAATCGACAGTTTCCTTGTCTTGCTTGTAAACTCGGGATGCTTCAATGAGCTTGGCCTTGATGCGAGGTATGGATTCTGGATCCTCGTTTGCATAGAGGTGAACAGTTAAGGTGTAAACCATTTTGAAGTAGTTGTTTCTTTTCAGGAGTTGTTTTCAGACGGTGGATGATGTTGAGGAAAGAGAAGTTTTGGAGGGGCAGCATTGGGCTTGCAGCTTAAATGTGGAACTTAGAAAGGAAGGGCCGATGAAATGGCAGACACTCATGTGACTCATGTTGATTACTTGTGTATTCTACCAGTGCCCGCTAGCATCCTTATAACTTCATATTATCTCAATCCCCAGAATCAAAACAATAACGCTATTTCAAGTTGTGAAGTTTGCGCACCCCGCACTATGTCACAGCTTGCCAGAATGTCATCATCACATGACTCGTACTTAGTAATCACAACCGCATAGTAGAAGTTAGTTTTATTACCTAGTTATAATGATCAACCTCTTTTGCTGCAACAGATATCCTGGATATACCTCTAGCATGTACTTCTAACGTACATCGGAAGCTTGTGTAAAGCACGTGGAAAAATCGCAAGAAACTCATAAGCTCCAATATGTCACAAGCACCAGAACTTCCTGGATACTATTATGGTAACCGCATCGAACATTCTGATGTTGATTGAACCTTGACTTACTGAAAATACCCTACCTAGATAGTGAGAAGAAAAAATATTTCAAAATACAGGCAAATGCACCATCAAGCTCCGCATACTCGTCTCAAGATGTCAAAAGACGCAAGATTGACGACGAGAATAACAAAGCCCAATCCTTGAAAGTTCAACGGAATGTTGGCCGTATCAAGAGAGCAAGGATTCTTGAAGCCCCTATTTCTGGTGGCTTTTTATCCAGAGAATTTGGACAGCCTTGCTTGGACACTGTTGCTGCCTCCTCTTATGCTCAGAACCTCATCAAAACAGGTGACACCGGTCACTGGGGAGCTCTAAATGGTCCACAACTTTTTGCCGTGATACCCAAAGGCTCCGGTTCTTTCCTTTACTTTCCTATGGGTACGTCAGAGCACTCTTTAATGCCCCAATTCAAATTTGACAATCAAATGATCTTTCAGGCTTGAATGCTTCTTCAGAGTTCTTTTCAGATTTGTCACTCAATTGATTCTTTCGGTTTGCCGAGATTACCGTGGATACTGGGGATATTATCTTGTTGTGTCATTGATTTTGTACATCGCATAGAGCTACTTATTCTACTCCCTCACGATCTACTACTGACCATTGCTAAGTTATCAATAATTGTATCAGGCACCTATCATTCGACTGCAGAATAAAAACAAGTGAAGGACGAGTGACAAATGTGTTCGAAAGTAATGCCAGGGTGGGGAGATCTGATCCGCTTTTCCCTCCCTCTCGCTCGTATGCTGCTGGGCCACGAGTCACTTCTAGTAAGTATATTTATTTGACCGCCAAGACGTCTTGATTCTTGCAGTTTATATTCAAACGCTCTCTGTACCTTCATCGAGCTCGTGCTAATCGGCTTCCAGTCAGTGCCAATAAGACGATTGGATATTTTGCAACGACGTGGTTAAATGTACCTACAGATAGGAGCATCGTAATTAGTCCTTGTCCTTTGACCCCTGGCAATATATGTAAGTCATTTAGAACTTGTTTGCGAACGTAGATTCGATGACAATTTTATTCATGATCGGATTTCCCCTGCTCTATTAGACTTCTGTTGATGCTGACATAAATTGCATGCGAATATAGCTAACATGGTTTAAGATGATCTTCCTTCAAGAGCCGACATACATATCGGTCCAGGGACCACGCGAGGTAATGTCGATATCCTCTCTTCCACCTCAGCACCACTAGGTTCGCAAGATGCATTTGCCATGTAAGTTACTTTTTCCCTTTCCATTCCAATCCTACGTATGCTTCAGACAACAAGTCATAGAAAGTTGTATACTCAGGCGTCTCTGCCGTGTCTAACCCTCATACAAAACTAGCGGTGCGAGCAAAGGCATTCTTCGAATCGACAAAAATCTCGACATGTCCTGGATTCGAAGCAGCCCTACAGAAAAGTCCCACCACAGTCAACCTAGAGATGTATTTGCACTGCAATATTGTCCAAACCACAAGGATATCCTGCTAGCTGGTGAACGGCGCGGGATCCTCAGCATTCTAGATCTCCGAATCCCTCAGTTTTGGCCCCCGGCAGAAAAGATCCAACACACAAGTTGTATCACGCACATCGAATCACTGGATACTCATCGCGTGCTCGTCGCAGGCTGCGCATCCGATCTCCACCAATACGACAGACGATTCACCAAACCAAATCCCCAACATACGCCAAGAATCAAAACTTCAAACACCACCTCCCCCACAACACCCTATCTAACCTACCCAGAATACCGCAACAAAGGCCGTATAGACATGGGACTAGACGTAGACCTCGAACTCGGCCTCGTTGCCGCAGCAGCAGACAACGAATCAAAAATCAAGCTCTTTTCCCTACACGGAGGACAAGTGCTAGGTGATGTTAATATTCCCGACGCCCGCGATCTGAATTGTTTCAAATTTGTCCAGGATACGGAGAATGGGCCTAAAAGTATCTGGGCGGCGTGTCCAGATAAGCTCATGAGATTCTCGTTTGAGGGGGAATAAACATAATCAGTCCAATTTACTTTTTGTAGAACCTCTGCGGGGTTCCATCGACTTATACCCGACGCTCTAGGACGATGTTTTTTGTCCGTTCATTGTTTGTTCACCCATTTATGCATTACTATAGGAGATGCACTACAATAGGAACATCACGAAGAGTAGAAATAAAAAACTGTTCGCCCATGTTGAGCGTAGATTTCAGATTGCACAGACAAATGGCAAACATGAGAGAAATTATGGCAATTTTGTAATCTTATGATTTCCAAAACATTGCTGTTGCGCTTTTATTTCCACGCAAAAGCATAACTTTTGTACAAATTCTCACTGCCCCATGCATGACACTCCATCGTGCCTTGCATCCATAATTACTTTTAATATTCCACTGCACATCACTGTTTCTTCTGTCTTTCGTAACCATGTAGACATCCAACCTTACAATGCAACTAATCAAACCACCACCAACGCCTGCTGTAGCCATCATACAAAAGCCTGAAATTATTCAAGTTTCAAGATTCCTCCTGTTCCTACTCCTGCCCTATTTTCGCTTTTACACATGCACGAGAAATTCGAATCCAAAACAGATTGACATAACACGCTTCCAACGCGCGAACCCTGGGTAAAATAATGGATAAATTTAAAATATCAAGCAAATCAAAATCGGAGGGCATTGCGTCCGTGGTACACCCATCCTGTCCGGTTTTGCATATTGAAGACTATTAATGTTCACGTCTATTGAAGACGTTTTCGCTTGCGGTCTTCTTCCCGAAGCATATCCTCCTCGTGTTCCTCTGCGCTTTCTGCCGTTTCTGCTGGATTTAATATGTGTGCCATGCTTCCTCGTCGGGTAGGAGGTCCGGAGCTGTCTCTAAAGAGACTTGATAACCCTTTGTCCCTGGCTCCGCTCCACGACCAGTTGTTGAGATTTTCTGTTCCATTCCCGTTTGTATATGAAGGAGGGGTGGCAGGGCGAGACATGCTATGCCCATGCGTTGCCCCAGAGAGTGAATACATGCTGAAACTGTCACGGATTCGCTGGTCCTCGCTGACTATGTGTGCTGCTGTTCTTTTGGGGGATGATGGATATTGTGATGATGATTGGCCGGACGCATAGGGAGAGGAAGTGGGTTGCCATCCCCCTACATTACGAATATCAGCAGAAGTGTGGCGGCGTGACATATTTGGTGGTGATGATGCGTTAGCGAGTGGGTGGGGCGGAGGAGGGGGTTGTGGTGCCTGGGGCCTGAGTGAACTTGGCGAGGATTGTCCAGTAGCCGCGCCTCCAATCGAGCCGTATCCTCTACGAGCAGCGAGAGATAAATGAGATGGAATGGGAGGACGATGGAAATTCTGGCGAGGAGGGACTCCAAGGAATGATGAACGACGAGGTTCATCTTGGGGCATTTGTCGAGGTGATGGAGGATTATCCAACGTCAAGTTTGAGAAATACGGACGGCTACTTGAGAGAGGGGGCTCGTTAGGATCTTCCATGCCTCTGGTGATGGTCTCCATGTGTCTTTGGATTTCCCCCTGCATAGCAATAACTATAATTTGTCAACAACCAGGAAAGGGGCTTAGTAATTGCAGGGTACATACCATCACGATGAACACCTGATTCTGGACTAGCCAAAGAGAGCATCATTCTAGACATTTCGAGATTCAACTACGCAAAATTAGTCACCGCCCATTCGGGTTCTTATGATGGGAAAGGTACCTGGAGGACACGAGCTAAAGTGTCCATCAAAACCTGATGTCTAACGTGGAAAAAATGTTGACTCTCGGCATCTCTCGTGTTTTTAGCATGCATCTCAAATAGACCATGTTCCAAGTATGTTAATCTAGACTCTGTTGACTCCTGGATCGGTAGTACTGGTTCGCCCGGAGTTCCAGGTTGCGAAAGCGCTGGTTTTGGAGCAGAGTATGAATCTCGGTGAACGAGAGATTGTCGAGAAGCCCGTCGTCTGATTTCTCTTAAACCGACCACATCGCCACGTTTAAAGCTGTTTTGCCCGTGCTTGAACTCCCAGAGCGGAGTCTCTGGCGCATTCTGATGAAAGACGTCACTGACTGCATTGCTGTTAGTGATGAAGACGAATGTGCAAAATTGTTATAGTACTAACCTTTGTGAAATCCGTACATGTTCAATTGTCGTACAAATGAGGAAATATTTGTATGTTTGAAGTATTGTCTACAATCTATGAGAAAATGATGCAAATCAGGATGTCTTAACTTACGAGAGGACTTTTGAGAAATCGGTAGAGGGAGACATTACAAAGCTGTCCTGGCTAGCCGACCAAGATATCAGATGTCGAATGTTAACATCTTCCAACATACTGGCATGCAATCAGTAAATGAAATACTATGAACAGATTCTCATCAGCTCCAACCTGTATAATTTATGAATGAATGCAGTTTGCACCACTTTGGGTTGGATTCCTCCTCCAGCTGCAGCAGCGGCAGCTGCATTAGGCGTTGCCAAACTGCCCGAACTTGGTTGATCCTCCCTCATATGATCAGGTGTGCCGTTTGCTTCGCTATCAGGACTTGTCCTTGAAGGAGGTCCCATCATCGCCGTACCGGGTGTAACGTCCATTGCGTCGCCAGACGGGGGAGAAGTTTGGATGGTAGGTTGTTGAATGATTGGGACTGTTCGAGCTGGATTTTGGGCTAGATTGGGCCCATTGATGTAAGAGTGCTGCTGCGCTCGATCATCCATAATGTCCATCTTCGCGCTACCTGGGTACTCAATGTATCTCAATCTCTTGTGCAATGTACAAGAATCAAGCTTCTAAGTTGGACTTGGTTAGACCCAGAAATCGAAGGCGGCGCAGATAAAAAGCGAAAGGGGTAAAACACACCTCATCGCATGCGAAAGTTGATGGAGCTCTGAATTGCTAGAAATCCGGACGATGATACTCAGAAAGCCTTCTTTGTCCGATGCTACTTGCTATCCTGCGACTTCCCGAGACACTTTAGCCTCGCTGCACACTTAAGATGTAGGAAATAATAGGAGATGTGATATGCGATAATATGCGAATCGTTATCGAAAGAATCTTGAGTAGCGATGATGATGATCAAGGATGTTGTCGAATTGATGTTAAAGATTTGACGTGTGAACGATCTCGTCTGGCGAGGTATCAGGAAGATCCGGTATGTATTGAGTGACGATTACAGATAATGATATCCGAAGATCAATGTGAAGGGACTTCTACCTCAATTAATTATTCGAGCCCTAATTTCAATTGAAGAATGGATGGTTTGAGTGATGGTGGTAAAATAAGAAAAGAAATATAAAATACTACATACATAGATAGATAGGTAGATAGATACTGGTAGGTACAATACGGTACGGTACGGTAATGGTACGGTACTTTCTTTGGCAGTGGTGAATGGCTAAATGTAATAAATGTCAAATGTTCATATCGATCTGATTGATGGATGGTAAAGAACATTGAATGATGTTTAACTAGGATGAGCTATTCCGGATATGATTCGAAGCCCCGCTATGAATAAAAAATTACTGAAAACTTCCCGATATCGCCCTGGGTCATTCTGGGTACTAAATTTGACAGATATGAGAAAGGCTAGTCGTTTTCTAGTAATAAATCTCACATTCCGATAATTCATTCGTGCGAGTAAATGAGAAGTAAAAACCTCAAGGGTTGTCATGAAAATTGAATAAAAAGGGGGGAAGAATCTCGGTCAAAAGATTCAAATACTCCAAGATTAAAAATTAAAAGCACATTGGAAGTGTAGGTATGTATGTACTCCGTATGTATACCTACTCCGTCCGTATACTCATTACACTTATTGGTATGCACTAAGTCAGTATTATGTGTTGGTACAATCTTCACCGTCCAGTGTCAATGTGCAAGATACATGGTTACGGATTACCGGTATTCTTTTTTCATCGGATCGATCTGACATTTTATCTACACATGCAAAGAATTTTCTTCCATTCTAGAAGCATTTGAATACAGTAGAATGCTACGGTAGAAGCAGAACGGAAGAATGAGGATGCGGCGGTTAGTAGCAAAAGGCTAACGTTAACAGCACAGATGAAATAAGGGGGCGGCTGTTATTCCTGGCATGGATCATATTCTTGACAAGGAAGTGGTTGGTGCCGGTATCCATAGAAAAGAATGGAGATTCCCTACCATATCTACTCTAGTTTTCCCATAAGGACTCAGGAGTTGCGTGAGTAGCGTGAGTATGACTGCTGACCCATGGCTAAAGAAAAATAGGGGGATCTCATCCTTCAGGTTTCTGACCCCCAAACATACCGAGTACCTCGATCTTAGTACGAATGTACTGCAGTTGTCGTGCTGAGTGTGTGTCCCTACCACATATATATACACATACATACATATATATATACATCATAATATACATCATAATATATTACTGCATGTAATATGAATAAATTAACCTTTCAGATCCGTTCGTCCTACACTCCAATCCCGAGTAGCGCATTGGTCATGAAACAGCTTGGGCACCACAAGCACGGTCATAATAATGATTCCTGGAGACGAGGGTAGATGTTCGATAAAATTATGCCTCATCTGTAGTGACAATTCAATGAACCTTATTTTTTTAGGGAAAAAAAATGGAAAGAAAAAGACAAAAAAACCATCAGCAGCTGCAGCTGCACTGACTGAAGGATCTTAAAGCTTGGTAGACTCCGGACCAACAATCTCATATCGCAGTGAACGCTGCAAGTAGAACTATTGAATTTCATTCGAGGTATCAACTTGGTTGCATGCGTGAAACGATATAGCTAGCTTATACATGCTGTGCTAAAACTTCTGCAGGTCCAGATAAAAGACTCCGAAAGAGATCGATACCTATGAAAAATACAACCCAATATACTGTAGCGTGTGAGCCAACATGCAAACCTTGACTTCTCACAGAATATCAAGAATATAGTATATTCTTCGGGCGTACCAGAAGCCGTATTCAAGCTTCAATCAGCACCTAGTGTAACATCTTTCTAATGTTGCAATAATATGTTGAGGATAATTATCCCGTCATCTAATCATCCCTAAGAGGAATTATTCGATTCTGCTGTTCTCGTTGGTTGTTTGATTTGATTCGGCTGCTTCCTGATATTCTCTGTACTTCACATTTACGAAACCTGGCCAACAGGTCCTGATTTCACTTGAATGAGAGCCCTGCCTTGTGTGCCAAACACGGGTTGGAAGACATAATTGGCGGGATGTAAGTGAAGTGTCAAAACCTCGAGAACATCTGCAAGAAGTTTTCGCCTATGGCTTAAGATTAAGAAGGGTCAATCTGGAGGGGATTAATGTGAGTTGTAACAGCTACTTCAAAATTTTATCCTCAATGTCAAAAAACCAACGCGGAATTTGGTATAATGGATTAGGATGCATCCAACCTAAAAGTCGTAGTGGAAGGAAAAGTTGTAGACATACCTATGTTCACGAAAACTGATCTCGGAATTGGTTGTGGCTGTTGTGGCTGTTGTGGCTGTTGAGGGTGTTAGTGTGGCTGATCACGTGCCTCAAATGGATGCGGCTTTCCAGCACTAATCATGATTCGATGGCAACGACTTGGAAGCTCCATCATATTCACTCATTCCTTGATAGTGATCTAAGATTAACATCCATCGGGTTACTTAAGCGCTTTTTTCAAAAACTGTAAGTCTAAAATAACAACATCTCACTCCAGTGGTGAGCAAAGTTATATTGTTACTTTTGAGTTGAATACACACCTCTTCTTATTAAACGATCATTAGCAACATTGCTTTGGAATCTTTAAAATGGCAGCAGACTGTTTAAGTCAGGTCCTTGAGGACATGAGACTCGAGGACGGCAGGCCGGATTATTTGTTGCGTAGGTCAGCGTAAGTCAAGCATTTCTTTACCACCTCATGACACTCCACGGCTGGGAATTGCAGCACTTTCAGTTTCGTGATGGGGATAATATCTAAAATCGAGGCAGAATTCAACATCTACTCAACAGCTCAACCTTGACATTTGGAGAAAAGCGCATATTCAACGCCCATTTCAAAGGGATCGGCTTTGTTCATGACATCATCGCCGAATTGCCAATCGAGCTTCTTGCGCTCTTGGTAGAATATGTTGACCTCGAAGACTTTATGTCTATGCGTTCTGTTAACAGGGTCTGGAGAGCGAAATTATCCAACGATAAGGTTTCCATGTCAATACTCCGTGTACACTTCCGTAGAACTTGGGAGGATCTTAAGTTACTTGATGAAAAAGACAAGAAGCTAAGGCTTGATTGTTTGCCTCGGTTTTGTACGACACGCCTTAAGAGATATCGTCGCAAGTATGATGAAGTGTGTATTCACCCAAAGCGACATGTTTTTAGAAATATTTCACACCAACACCATCTACGTGGAAATAAAGGATTGTTCCAGTACTGCAATGGAAGGGTAGCAATGATGATGGATTACACTGTCACCGTCGCCATCCAAGTGGATAGTCTCTGGACACTTGCTGAAACTTGCTACATGCATGAACAACGATACCGTCCCGACCATTGGTTGCTCTCAAATCAAACCCTTGTAGCCTACTTTGATCATCCGTAAGTTACTTAGCAGCCCCCTCAAGAGCCATGTTCGAGCCCTTTTCGAGACTTTAGCATTTATCTACTTGGGCAGATATTGAGAGGGTATACTGAAGTTTATGTGAACAGAAAGCCACATCTCAACATATGGTCACTCAATGAAGAATCTGACCCGGATGTCATTCGACTGGAGTGCCGCTATTCAATATTGGCCGCTCACAACAGACAGGTTGCGTTCTTGCCCGTGAATCGCTTTCGCGTAGCGAGTGGCATCATCCACATCTGGAACGATGGTCGTATTAAACAGCTTGCTGAGCCAAAGCTCGTGGACATATGCTTCCCTTACGAACCTCGTATAAGTGGCGTCGTCTTCCATCCTACTGAAGAGAACCATCTATTCGTATTTTATCAGCTTTTTTCTTCAGCCTTGGGTTCTTTGGACCCGGACAGGACTGGTAAAGTAATTGTGCAAGAATACATCGCAGGACTTCCACACAAAACATGGCGTCGAAATGTTCCTGAATCGCTCATCACGCAAGCGCTCAGAGTGGAGTCCATTGACGACGACGGTCTCGTTGCTATTCTACCAATTCCACATGCCGAGGGAGACGGTTCAATTCTACACATGGAGCGCAATGAGAATAAACTTGATTTTCCCCAACCACCACCCTGTTGTAAACACGGTATATCATCGGCCACAGCGAGTGGACTTCCCAACTACTCATTCCTAGCCTTCAATGTCTTTACCCAAGAATTTCAAAATATCTCGAACCACCTCAAGGCTATCCCAGTGGATCCCTGTTGTGACAAGCCATTATTATGGAGAGGCCAGGGCATTGTCCTATGTGGCAAGGAAGGTTTTGAGTCGATACCGAGTACACCTGATGGCAAACCACTAAAAGCCCTGGTATCCGCTAGTGTCTGTGATGAGAAGAGAAAGTTCAAGTGCGTAGGGGGTCATGGTCTGCGTGATAATGTTAAAGCTGCTGCAGCCTTCCGTTTCCCCATCGAAACACCATTGCAAACGCAGTCAGTAACTATATGGGGTGATGATAACTTTATAGTGTGTAGCTATGAGGGAGGATATATCGTATGGGATTTTTGAAACAATAACATACGGATAGATGGAAGAGAAGTAAGATTACAAGAACATATTAAAATTATTTACTGTCTTTTTGGATGTCTGATTTCAAAGTCTAGCTAGTTTTGTAATTCTCTTCAATTCTATTTCAATGTATTGTATTATATTATATTACTTGAGGATCCAAACTCATACTCAAATTTAAGTTTAGATTCAGATTCAGATTCAGATTTCGAGTTTGGAGTTTGGAGAGGAAGAAAGAGGAAGGAAAGGGAAGGAAACTCGGGCTTTGTTTATGTTGAGTTGGTTGAGTTGAGTTAAGTTGAGTTGGGTTGATGAAATGGTGCGAGTACGAGGTAGTTCTGTGGTATTCTGCTTCATTTTGTTTCGTTTTTTGGGTTTTATATTTATATGGAATAGTTGCTGGTGATATTGAGAAGTCAATGATTGTAAAATAATACAATCAATCCAAGTGTGTTTCTTTTGATATTTCCGGAATAACAGTGATAAAATCAAGTAAATTTCTAGGCTTTCAAAATGGAATGCAGGACAGGTGGTCTATAAATATGTCTTCTATGCTCATTCTTTCTCATCTTTATTCTTCTCGTACTCATACTCATACTTATAATCTAGCATCTATTTCTCTCCATTCCACCCAAAAATTCTCACCCTCATCCTCCACTTTTATAATACAATAAAATACATAACCTATCATTCACGTCCCCATCGCCTTCAAACTCCTCACCAAACCCCCACCACTCTCCTCTAACTCCCTAAACCTCAACCCTAAACCATCCTCCACCCTCCTATTATCACATCAAACCTATGAACCCCTTCCTCAGAATCCCAACCACCCTCCACACCGCTGCCAGGCAAAACTCCCTCATGCCCCGGAAAATTCTTCCAAATAATCTCACAAATCTCCTTAATATCACTAAAATACTCCTCCGTGACCAAGATTCTCTTTCCAACCGCTTCGAAAACCTCAATGGCTTTCCCATGAGCAAGTGTTAAATCATGTACATCGATATTGACCTAGATAAAGGTTCCAGAAGCCGGAATCTCCTTTTTAAGATTACATTTCTTCCAGTAGGAGGTCGCACGTCGCTCAGGGAGAGGTATTTAGCGCATCGAGTCTATTTAAGTAATGAACAATAGGGCCCAAAGCCTAAGGAGGATTCATAGTCGACAAAGTAAAATTAGGCTTTTTCTTTTCGCTGAAGTCCACGCGGTTTTCTTTTTTTTTTTTTTTTTTTTTTTTTTTTTTTTTTTGGCGAGGGCTTTCGAGGCCTAGTGATAGTTTCTCGGGCTTACGATGGCTTCTGAGAGCGTGACGCGGTTCCAGTCTGCTTCTCAGTATGTGTGTTCGGGCCAGTTACCTTTGGAAGCATCAAGGATAGCGGTAAATGAAGAAGTTAGCACGGCGCGTTTTTCTGAAAAGGGGTATTATTTGATGGCGCAAAGGATGGAAGTTGTGCCGGTTATAGCGGAGTCTAGAAGATCTTTCTTACTATGTGTTACGTCGAAGAACTTTAATCTGCGTTAGCAAACTTCCTTTACAGTATTTTACTTGGCTGATGATCTCTCTCGACTTGAATCCACATGTACTTCATATCAAAGAAGACATAAATGAACATATTGAAGTAGTAATATATATCACAGCCTCCAACCTCTCACCATGGATTTACATATACGTACATACTTACTTGCCTCCTTAGCTTCCGAATTTGATAAACGAAGGTCGGGCGTACCCGCCAATGCTTGACTGATCCCCCCTGTATCAGGACTGTTGAGTGCACAAATGTACAGATGTATGTAAAGATTACAAGGACACAAGTGTATATCAAATCAAATCAAATCAAATCAAACAATACCATGCATGGCACTACACTCCACGAAAATATTCTTGAAAAAGGATAAATCTATCTACTTGTTCACCCATCCATCCATCCGTCTGATCTCATCTCATCTCTATCCATCATTTGTACAGATATAATTTGATTTGACATACTATCTATCTACTAATATACCCACTTCTACTTAAATGAGCCATCGAGAAGAAATCCCCGTATGAAAAGAGGAGTTTGTGCAAGGAAATTGTAATATGGTATCTACGGTTCGAAACTCTTGAAATGTATGAGCTGCTACCATGGCCGTATCCTCAACGCCGGCGCTCAAAATATCAGAGGCATTATTAAACGAAAATGAAACAACCCAAAAAAAGAGGCAAAATTTTACTTCATCAATCTCCAACACTCCATCCTATCATTATTTTTCCCCTGCTAGACCCGTGAGTCCATAAAGATCTATTACTGCTGAAAAGCATGTCCTGACTTGCCTCTACCAATAGTTTTGAAACTGCCCCCTGATTCAATGATGTCGAAACGGCTCACGCCCATAGCTTCGAGATCCGTCATTCCCGAGAAATAGAACCCAACGACAACAACTAAGTAGCTGAGTAAAAGGATAGAGCCCTTAAAGTAGTTACTCTTTCCTTCACCGTACATATAACTAAGTAAGAACACACAAAGAATGACCGTCACCATATCCCACTGGGGGAATATAAGGCTGAACGACTTATCGACAAGATCAGAGCCTTCTAACCATTGTCCATTGATGGCACTAAACAAAACGAGAGCCGGAATTTGAAGTAGACACACTTGAAGTGCATAAGCAGATCCGATTTCCATAGATAGTGCGATGTTGCCGTTCATTGCGAATGAAATGGCATTCTAAAAAAATTTGTTAGTCTTTTTTTGTACGTGATCAGGAGGAGAAGGGCTTACAAGAAACTCGGTGGTATTTGGAACAAGTGCGAATAGTGTGATACCGAGGAACTTTTCATCAATGGCTACATTTGAAAGAACTACGTCGACCGTGTTGACTAAAATCTCTGCAATGAGCGCGTAGAGAATAGTGGCACCACACAAAATCACCGAACTTTTCATTCGACTCCAGTTTGGTGCATCATGCCCACCACTTGCGGCATGAGCCTCCGCCTGAGCAGCCTCTTCAGGTTCTGCATGTACGGCTGTTGTTCTCAAGGAAGGAATCTTATGTGCATGGGTAGATGTTTTCCGATGAGGTGGCCGGGCGGCATCTCGAGCAGCGATTGTAGCAGCAGTCGCTGCCATTTCGGCCACTTCTCTAACAAATGTTGTGTTTTGGATATCTGTAAATCCTGGTATCTGATAATCAGATTTTATGCTATCTCCTGCGGCACTCTTGGGTGGAACTAAATGAGGCGTTTGTACTGAACCATTGTGACTAACGTCTTCGGAAATGTTGTCCTTAGGATTCAGTCCGGCTTGCTTTAGGGACTGCCCAAGAATGCGCTTGTAGAGCTGAGAGTCACGAATTTCACTTCCACGGACATCTGCCGCAGTCTGAGCATGTCGTTGTGCGCGGACTTGTGGAGCTCCGCCTGAAGCTTGTTGGGGACCAGCGCCACTAGGTTCTGGCTTTTGCTTCTCTTCTACTTCGTTGTTCCATATCACCGCTGCGTGAGTTCGAAGTGTAAACCATAGCCCAATGACATAGGAAAGAAATAGGAGAACAGCAGCAAACCAGCAGTACGGCCGGACAGCCTCTAGGTAAAACCTGTCATTCAATGCTGGTGACTGGGAAAAATAGCAACGACGGCAATCGCGGCTTGCTGAATCATATGTGTCGGTGCATGAAAGGCAATTGAGTTCATGCTATAAACAGAAGTTAGCTAGGACTTCCATGATTAAAATGAGCTTCGTAACTTACGGTTCCATAAATTTGATAGAACAGAGTAGGACCGAATGCAGCAAGAACGGCAAAAAGTAGCATCGTCGAAGTCACACCAGCCGACTTTACGTTAAAACGTTGAGTCTTCCTTTTGATGGCACCAAAACACATGGATAATCCTGGGAGAAACAATATACCGGCGAAAATACTTCCAATGATACTACCTTCAACAAGTTGTCCTTTACCTTGGTTCAGTGCGATGCAGTACAAGAAGACCTCTACTAATGTTGAGAAGAAGGCATTAATTGCAGCGCCAAGTCCCATGGATGATTGTGCTGAAATCGAGGCAACAGCTTGTCCTATGAAGTAGGCCAAAGGAATAATGGACAACAGGGCCATGATGAACAGGAATGCCGGGTATCTATGGAGATGTCTAGATCGAGCATTCTAAAAGAATCCAATAA